TCTTTGGACCACCTCTTTATAAAACCAAGCGCGGACCTAGATTATTTAAAGAGTGCAATGTGCAAATTAAAATGTAATCCTTGGTCGAATAAAATCCCCAAATCGATGACCGTGTCAACGTTTTCAATCAACTTGTATGAGTCAATGAAATACTGGGTGAATGATTTCCTCCTGTAGATGAAAACTTCCTGCATTTTTTTAGATTTAATTTCATAAAAATTAACGAGCCAAATTATTTAAGTTCATTTGAAACTGATACGATTGCTTCGTCAGCGTACATGAAAATCTGGCTGTATTTGATCATCGAGAGGAGATCATTAATGTATAAATTAAATAGAAGGAGTCCTAAGTGGATGTCTTGACTGATGCTAGATGTTGCGGGAAGTTCATCCGAGGGGATGCCGTTACCTGAGTGGTCTGTTATGCAGATAAGAACCTAGCCATTTCACTAAGAAGGTGTAGCCAAGGAGCCGGCGTTTGAAGGTCAATAAATTGTGGTTAACTAAGTCACACGCTTTGCTAAAATCAGTATGTACGACATCCGTGCGAGAGACACTATAAAAAGCCTTGAAGACATGGCAAGGGAATTCTAAGAGATTCGTGACAGAAAATATTACTTTCCGAAAGCTGTACTGGATTGGAGAAATTTAAGATTTGAGAGCAAAGGCTAAGTGCTGACTAACAAAGGCAAAAAATATTTATATAAAATAAATAATTGTTATATCAGTACATAATTACTAGAATTAGCAGCTATTATGCGAGTTTAACTTCAATTTTTTTATTTTATTTTATATTTTTTCCTTTTTTTAACTTTATTTACCTTATAATAAAAAAAAAGGAAAACAAGAGAAACAATTTAAAAAAAAAGGAGGATCTTTAAAATTTCTTTTTATGTTAATATTATCCTTTACTATAAAGCTAGGGGGACTGAGGACGTCTACCGACCGACCAAGACGGAACCCACGGACGACGGACAACACGCCCGGCGGACAGACTTACAGAGGACAACTCAGTCAATTGATTTTATTCTTTTCTTTTAAATTTTATAAATTTTTTTTTTTTTTTAATGCGGTACAGCGGACAAAGAGAAAGAAAAAATTTCAAACTGCTCTACTGACCAAGAGCTATAAAATCGCAATGTATCTGTATATAAGATTTCCTGTATAAAAGGCAAATATATTTAGAGTCCACAGGCCAAATCAGTTTTATTAAAATTTTACTAAAATGAAATCATACGGTACCAATGGCACTTAAAGGGGAAAGAAAAAGAAAGAAATGCAAAAGAACAGTCGAGATCACGGCTAAACAAAGATAGAGTGTTCCATGCCAAAAACATATCAAGACAAAATAAACGAAACAGCATGGAACAAACAAGAGAAAATATTCAAAAAAAAATAAAAAAAAAAAATAAAAAAATAAAAAAAAAAATAAAAATAAAAAATAAAAAACGTGCCCATAAGCAATAAAATAAAAAAACCATTGTCTGATACAACATATAATAATATATTGTCTAACTTGTGATTACACATTTAAGCAAAAAGAGAAAAAAAAAGGAGAAAATTGCTTAATATTGGTATATAAACGCATATCGCTGCAAATACTAAAATCAAAACTAACATTTTTTAGATACAAAGCAGCAACAACGACAGGCATTTGCGATCACATAAAATCCTCTGTTTAGGCAAATATCGCAAGGTGGGCGCCGCAAGACGTTTACTTAAGGCGAATTGACAAAAAAAACCCTGACGCCATGGTTACACATAATAAGGCAAAACGTTACCTCTGCACACATTAGTGAGTACCGAACGCAAAGAAAACCATCCATGAATGGGACAATTGGTAAGAGAAAAAACAGAGCATTGTGCACATGTGACAAAGAGTGAAAGGAATCTAAAAAGAAAACCAAAAAAAAAAAAAAAAAATAGAAAAATAAAACGGCTATAAATCAAAAGTGAATTGAACAAAAGGACAAATAATATAACAAAAATGGGGAAATTAAAAAATAAACACATCAACAAAACCATCGCAAAAGTTTAAATTAATAAAAGAACAACAAATTAAACAGAACAAAAGTGCCAAGTGAAAAAAATGAAAAATTATATATAACTAAAAATCCGAAAATCAAAAAAAAAAAAACATTAGCGAAACAATCGCCAAAGTTAAAATTAATGAAAGAAAATAGAAACTAAACCATCTAAAACTAGAAGAAACTAAACCATCAGAAATAAACAAAAAAGGGAGAGAATACAGTCCATCACATCTGAATGACCTCTAAAGTAAGTAAAAGGAAAGAAATCAACGACAAAAAAAAAACATAAAGAAAGAAAGTACAAGTCAATGTCAAGTAAAACTACGCAAAGTTACTGTGAGTAACAAGAAGAACTTCTCATTAAAAGCGCACAATCAAAACGTATATTAACAAATAAATACCAAGATCAAGAAAAAAAAATGAATAAACGAGAGAATCGGTAACGTGTATTTACATTTGCAAATGGAAAGAACAAGATCGACTAAAATTAATTTGCAACAGAACTAATAGAAAGAGATTGAAGGTTCGAACAAAAGAGTAATTCTTTGGAACACAACATACGAAAGATCAATCTAAGAGGAAAACTTGCACCCAGAAATCGAAACCGCAAGCAATGGCACATTAGATAAATATCGCTAGAGCAGTGGAAATTTGTAAACAACAAGCCGTAAGTCTAGCACAGATTGGAAGTTTTGTCAAATAAACGACCATAACCAGAAAACTTGAGGATTTCTGTAAATAAAGTAAACGAACAGTGAATCTAACAACGACAACAAACAACGCCTATCTGCTAACAACAGCAACAACTATGCAAGGATAGGGCCGAAAAATCGAGCAGATAAAACGAAAAAAAGCTCTAATTTAAAGAAACAAATATTAACGTTTTATTTCTTTCAAGTGCCTAAATAATTCATAAATAAAAAAAAAGGAAAAGGGTAATACCGAGTTGCCAGCAACAACAGCAGCAGTAACACCATCATCAGTTCCACCATCATTCCGCTCACCAACGACAGCCACAACAGCAATAGCAAGTACAATTGCAAGTACATTGGGAGTTTCTATAATTTGTTTCCCCAAACGTTTGCTCTTAAAAGAATACCACGTACATAACCTTTACACGCATAGACGCAGGCACGTTCCATTGTCTACCCTGCCTCACTTAATGGTCTCCTCCAGAGGCAATGGCAGTGTATGTTGAAAAGAAACAAAATGCACAATTACAAGTCAACACCCTTTGGTCCCATTATGAGTTCAACGAATTCTAACACGCGTACAATTCACCATTTTGTGCCAGACGGAAATGTTGCAATATAATACCTTTGCTTATGTGCATATTGTAAATCATGGAAGAGCTATTTTATGTTAGAATCAAGTTTATATAAAATATAATCTGAACTTATAAAGAATTCTAAAAATCATATAACGTCTTTTATTTGAAAAAAGTGAGTTCCTTCTTTCTTCAAAAGCAAGCAAACATCCTGGCTTACCTGGCGCCCGAGGAGAGATTGGTCAGACTTCCTAAATAATGTGCCCACTCCTTACGGAAAACCCGCCGCATGTGGTTAAAAAAGAAGAAAGAAAATGTGAAAAAATATAATTGTGAAATTGAGAAAAAATAAGCAAAGTAATACCGAATGAAAAATATGGAATCTTGAATGTGTTTGCAACATACTGCAATCCTGAACTACAATAAAGTAAATTAAGTTTACTACATTTTTTGGAAAGCATGTCTTTCCAGGAAAATATGTAATTTTTGCCGAAACGAGTAATCAGCTGCACAATACGTGATGATGTAGGGTAACTTATGGAGCCCTTACCCGTTTGTTATTGTTATTGTTGTGGTCGTTTTTAGTCACTATTATGGTCGCTAATGCTTACGTTCCTACTGTTGTTACCTTTATGGATTTATACTGTTTTTTGATTATGTTGCTATTGTAGTTGATAAATCTGTTTTTGCTACTATTGAGGCAGATGATGTTACTAACACTGCTTTGTTGTTGTTTTCCGTTTGTCGTGTTCATAGTTATTATTATTGTTTTGTCTCTATTGTTGCTGTTGATAGCGCTACCGTAAGCGATTTTGCTGTTATTTTCATCGTGCTATTGTTCCCAATTTTTTTGTTGTTGCTCACACTACTCCTGTAGGCTTATTGTTGCGATGTTGTTGTTATATTGTTGTTGGTATTGTTACTATTGTTGTTGACGGTATTCGAATATTCAGCTGTTAGTTTTGACTACGTTGTTTATTTTATATGTGCGCTTGTGATAAGTGAATTGTGATGATTCCATCTCGTTCCTTGATGCTCTTCTTGGGAATGACGTTTTCATGAACTGGATCAGCACAACTTGTTAAGCGAGGGTTAGTTTTCTGTAAGCAGAATTGTACCCCAGAGTTTGTGGTTGAAGACTGTACTTTTGCATCTAACGCAGACGCGCGAGCCGATATTTCCATGATTCCATTTTATATCGAAAATTCAATAGAATATGTTAAATCTATTTGTAAAGAAGACTTCACACTAAAATAATGAAAGTAGACGGGCGCAACAAAAATCAAAACTTGAAAGATTTTGTTCGTACATATAATTCCATAGCCAAACTAAAAACATATACAAAGAAAAGACATTTCGCTAGTAACGTTTGCGCAACACACTATCATACCCAAAAACATTTATATAATGTGTTTGTTCCATCTTATTTATATAATATTTCTGTACTTAATAATTTTGCTTCGCAAATGTTGCTAGCAAAATTTTCCACCTTATATATATAATCTTTTTTGGTCTTACATATATGTTTTTGTTCAAGTTAACAGCTTTTGCTTTCAAACGAGAAAAGAACATTCATTTTCGTTGAAATCATATTATTTAGTAAGTGAAGCCAAATTTTGTATCAATGAAAGCTTCCCACCTTTCGTTAAGCTTGCGAGTTATAGAGACCAACTAAGATTAAAAATATTCAGTTCGCTGATAACGTTGTTCGAATCGAGTGTGTAAATTTCTACTTTATTAAGTTTTTGTGAAGATAGTTTAAATTCATTTCTTTTTAACTTCGATTTCTCTGGCCGGATGCTAATTAAAAGTTAAATAATTTTAAAAGAAACCGGTAAAATTTTCGCGGAAATTTTAAAAAGAAATTTGTCGTATCAAAATGTGGTTAATGTAGCAGATAATAACAAAATTCTTCTGCTTTCTATATTTAAAAAAAATTCATTAGTATTATTAATTTTATTTAAATTCACCTAAAAAAGGAAATGATCAGGGGAATGTCAATACAGAGTTATATAAATCGCAACTAACTGAGGGTATATATGGTAAGATTTCATAATTGAATCAACAATTTTGGACAGAATGGGAAGTTAAATGAACATGTAATTTTTTCTTAAAGACATAAAAATATTGATTTTTTCCCGCCACATTGTTATACATACACAACACTTTATTGGCCCACATTTATGCAGGGTCTTCTTTTTCAAATGCATATGTGCTCATACCAGCGTACAGTAGTAGAATGTTTTATTTCGAACAGTTATTTACATTTTTATTATATTATTTTTCTCTTTGTAACAAAAAGTGATTCTGTTAAAAAGTGCGGGATTAATATATTATCCGGAAAGGGCGGTCTGTACAATAATCTTGTACTTATGTGCCGGAAATAAGGAATTTCACATTACTTTCTTCCACTACAGTTAACGTAATAGAAGATAGGAACGACTTACAATAATTGAAGTATTTTTAAAAAATATAAAACGGAGCCAAATGAAATTTTTCTTAAAAGAAATTATTAGACAAAGAAGAGGAAGAAAAAATCAACCGTCGACCGTTCTTAATTGATTTTTTGATTACTGATTTTTAATATATAATAAATCAATAAAAAAAAATTCAAGTTCGCTTTGAGGCGCATTTTGTATTTTTCCAAACGAATATATACAAAAGATCACAATATCCGGTATCTGTTAATTGAACGATAAAGATTAGTTTTACACTGAAATTTTAGATACTTCTCGTAATTGTTCCCATTGTGTTTTGGATTGATATTTGCTAAAATACATTAAGTTACAGTTTTCCTTATGTTTTGTTGGTAAAATGGCAAGGCGGATAACAGATATATTGATCCCATCTACTGGGATCTGCTGCTATGAACACAGGTAGCTGAGGCTGACTAGTGTTTTAAATGAGATGTCAGGTGTTATGACATAGTAGGTCTGTCTACCATACCTAAAAATTGGTCAATTGAATTCATAAGGGTTTATCTAATGGTCAACATGCCGACATGTTTAAAATATACCAAATTAACCGGTATGAATTAATTGCAGCCGATTCTAAAGTTACGATCGACTTTTGATAAAGCTAAATGCATTAGGATTTGTAAAAGTACCAACTTTTAGAGCCGTATAATTAAGGATACATTTTTTGTGAGATTGGAAAGTGACGTTATGAAGTTACAATGATTTATAAGCACACCGATATTCCGTGTTCATAAGCACTTCGTAATTTCGATACCATAAAACTTCGATCTATTCAGGAACTTAATATATCTTTATTTTCCGCAATTGTTTCACTGATAAACAAGTCTTTAAATTATTTTATTTTAAAGATTTGCTAAACCGGTAAACATAAGATTTTAATAAATGACATGAAATTATTAAGCAAAAAAATTAATAACAGCTTATGTTAATATAGATGAACAGCAAGATTTTTTAACTCAATTACATCAATTTACTTGATTTTTTCTTTTTTGTGTGATTTGTTCTGTTGCAGTAGTTTAAAGTATACGCATTACAGACGGGTATAGAAATATGCTCTCCAGCGTAAACTAATACCACATTTATCTACTTCGTGTGAATGTCAGTTTGTACGTATGTGTGAAAGCATGTGGCAGATTAAATTATTATTGCTGTTGTATGCTGATGGCGATGATGATATTATTTTAATATGCGTTTTATTGCAGGCATTCATTCAATAGCAAAATCCTAAAGTGCTTGACCGCAAGATTAGCGCAACATATACAGCGAAGGGAATATCAGACAAAACGTCGCGGAAAAAGAGAAAAAAATAAGGGGAAAGAGACTGATAGGAAGCACAGTGAGGCAAAGATATAGTGTGCACAGCAGAGCGCGCTAGCGCAGCATCGGTCGAGGGTCGGACAGGAATAAACATAAATGAGTAACCACTAAGTAGAGACATTGTTGCCTTCGTTTAGTTGGTGTGGTTCCTGGTGGTAGTTTGCTGCGAGAGCTGCTACCTTCTTTTATAAACAACAGCAGCTTATTTCGCTGAGAAAAATGCTTTCTGACGGTGTTGAACGCTTATTTTCGCTGACGCGTTTAATTGGTTTGCTGCTGCTCGTATCAACCAACGCAATTTCAGTGTTAGGGCAGCAACAGGCCCAACAGCAAGTTTGTCCTGAGCAAAATGTTATTGCTCCCTGTATTTGCACAGTTAAAAAAAACGGCTTGGATATCTTATGCGAGACCACAGATCTGGCTCATATAACTAAATCTTTAGGAACGCTTAAAGATAAAAGTCCCATCATTTTCTATTTGAAATTGCGTCACAATAATTTACCTAAACTACAAGGTTTTGTATTCCTGGCTCTGGATATACGTCACCTTACCATACATAATAGCAGTTTGGCTGCCATTGAGGAGAGCGCCCTCAGCTCTTTGGGTATGTTTTGAGTATTATGTATATTCACTTTAGTAAACATAATCAAATAGTAATATGTTTACATAGGTAAGGGTCTTACACAGTTAGATGTGTCCCTGAACCAAATGAAAACAGTGCCCTCCTTGGCATTGAAACATCTTTTTCATTTGTTAATTTTAAATTTAAATCATAATAAAATTACAATTTTACATAACAATGCCTTCGACGGGTTGGACACGTTAGAGATATTAACATTGTACGAGAATAAAATCAATACTATTGAGCCGGAAGCTTTCCGCGGTATAGAGAAGTAAGTTTAAATATACAGAAATAAAATAACAGATATTCTGTTAACATGTTAGAACATTTCTTTTATTTATAGAAAATTGAAACGTCTGAATTTGGGTGGCAATGAACTAAGTGCAGTGCCGCAGAAAGCATTATCAATTTTAGATAATCTGAAGAAATTGGAAGTTCAAGAAAATAAAGTGAAAACTATACGTGAGGGTGATTTTGCTGGTAGGTTATTTCCAATCCTTTTTTTTACATCAGCAATCTCTTGAATTTGTTATATTTTTAGGTCTTGAGAATTTAGATTCCTTGATACTGGCTCACAACATGATTACTGGCGTACCGGCTAACGTTTTCTCCCATTTGTCACTTTTAAATTCATTGGAGCTAGAGGGCAATAAAATTGTTAATATCGATAAAGATGCTTTCAGGGGCTTAGAAGGTATTACTAACTTACATGTTCCAGGCGAATAATGTTATAGTTTTTTGTTTAGAAAACTTGCAATACCTTCGTTTGGGCGATAATAATATTCACGCCATACCTAGTGAAGCGTTGCGGCCTTTGCATCGATTGCGACATCTTGATTTACGAAATAATAACATCAGTGTGATTAGTGATGATGCATTCACCGGTTATGGTGATTCGTTGACATTTCTTAACTTACAGAAAAATGAGTAAGTTTTTTAAAAAAAAAAGTAACGGAAGAAAAAAGTAAAACTCTTTGTCTATGGAAGTGAAACACGGGCTTTTTTATTTAGAGAACTGTACCAAATTTTATGTATACTACCAACGTTGGCGTTTTAATTCATTAATTATTAGCGGAACACATTTTCATGTCAATTTTTAAGTTATTGCCAACATGTTTGCTAACCACTCAAACCATTGCCGAGAATACACATGCCTTCTTTCAATTCTCTATCTCAGCCAAAAACTACAGACGAGACAACGAAGCAAGATCAAGCAAAGTCTTTCAAAGACCAATACATTAACAATTTGCAAACCGGCGATTGTAAAAACGCGACTTAACACGAAAAATCATAATCATTCTGAGCGTAGTATTTTTGTCGGCCAAATTTGAACGTAAAATTTTAACATGAGATTCCCGTCTTAGTATCAAAATAGTGAACTGAATATATATCTAAATAGTATGATATAATATGAGAATATTCTCAATATTTTGATCTTTTTTTTTAAACTTTGGGACCTACACATGAGATATATTGATATCGCTGAAAATAGTCCATCTCTTTCTAATATCCAATGCCTCAGGTATTCGAAAAGTCAACGATATAGCCTCAATAAACTTGATTTTGTCTCTTTCATTTTTCTATATTAACATTCTCAGTGTTGCGAAAATGGAAATAGGAGAGCATTGGTCGACAATGTGGCACACAAAACTTCTTCACCACCATGAGTATTTTTTTTAAAATAGCGGCCGCGCTTGACCGATGTTTCTTAATGTGGAAATTTATCGTAATTTAGCCTGAGTTGTTTGTTGTCCTTACCATTGAATACAAAAAAGGAGTTAATATATTTTAATAATTTCCTGTATAATTTTAGCATTAAAATATTACCCAGTATGATATTCGAGAACTTGAATTCTTTGGAAAGTTTGAATATACAGAACAATAAATTAACTCGCATTCCGCCCGACATAATGGAACATATTATTGACACGATGCGAGTAATTGATATAACAGGCAAGTAGTGTCCGAATTATATGAAGATCAAATTTCTAAGGGCAAGCGAACGTCAAAGAAGGATCATGTCATTTTTCTAAAAATAAAATTTCAGATAATCCTTTGGTATGCTCTTGTGAATTGACATGGTTCCCAAAGCTATTGCAAGAGTTAAAAAATAGAGACGATGAAATGGCACAGAAGAAGAAACCTGTCTGCCATATGTCCATTGAAAATCGAGAATATTATGTGCAGGCTATGCCCTTGGAGAAAATGCATTGTGTCGGCTTACAAACAGATGGCGCTGGATTAAACCTATTAGACAATGGTGTGTTGTTAATGTGGACTTTACTACTAGTAGTACTAGGAACAGTGAATATGCATGATGTGATGATGATGTTTTTGTGTACTTTTTAAGGACTCGATTGGTGGAAAAAATGGAAGAAGTAAAAAGCAAACAAAAGAAAACAAACATATCATAGATACGCGCACCGCTATTTTTAGAAGGAAAACCGTGGTTTTCGTTTTTTAAGAATCTCTTTTTTTACCTAAGATTATTGATTATTATAAATATTAATAAAACTTCTATAGGGATTTATAGGGATGTGAAACACCTCCGAAACGAATAAGAGTTTATTTTTTATTAAATCGTATCTAAATGTCGTCCCGCGCTTTTAGAGAAGCTTTTTTTAAGAGAATATTTTATAAAAAACACTTCTTATATGTTGTGAATATATTTTCACACATAAATACTATGAACACTACAATCCCTACATGTGTGTTGGGTTGTTATTTATATTAATGAAACAAAAGGAAAAATAAAACCAATATGCAAATATCCACGTCATTGTAACACACAATCATTTTGTTTCTTAAATAAAATTAAATTTGATAAATAAATTAAGTAGTGTTCCAATTACAAATATTACTTACATTTTAAATCACCTAAATGTTTAGAAATATTTACACATAAATACACATTTATTGAAAAACAAAAATTTGTAATTCTTTTAAACAAAATTTTAATGAATTCATTTTTTCACAAAATTATTAAATTTTGTTTCTAATTTCGAAAAAAAATTTTAAAATGAATTTTAAAATTTTGAACATTATTCTAAGAACTAAGAACTGATTGAAATGTAAGTAGTTTGTGCTCAATGCATATTAATGCAAACAAACAAATTACTAGGCATTACACTCTAAAAAAAGCACTCAAACTTAAATGACCGTAAACATATCAAACAAAATTGGGAAAAGATAAGAAAATTCCGATGAATTTAAACAAACGCAAGAGACAAATAAAATAAATTAAAGTGAACTAGAGAACTTCGAAACATTTTTGAATTTAACCCGTTTTAATTAATTACAAAAATATTTTCATCCTAATTTTTTATTTAAAAAATAATGCTGAAAATGTTTAACTTAAAAAAAATGTATTACTGGGTTAATTCAAAGTTCCCTTCTTCGTCCCCCTTCCCCTTTCCTTTATCCCTTAAAAAAAGGCACTAAACCATTTGTTGGAAAAAATATATATCAGGGTCAGATTAACAAATGGTTTATCTGCTTTTAATCTGTTTTTTCTCTCTTCTAACTTCAATAAAATGTAAAATACTACAGTTTTAGTTTTTAAATTACAAAAAGAAGAAAAAATTGTGAAAAAAAGTTAGCGTTTGGCTTATTGAAAAAGAAAGCTTTCTTGTTTTATTTTTTTGTATATGTGTTCATGTACGAAACAAATTATGTTGTTGTAGTATTGCAATTAATATACAAATTTTACATCAATAAAATCGAAAATTTTAATATGATTTTACTTCCTTTACTGCTCGTTTCGGTGTTACTTTTTATTTTGAAGAAAATATAATGTTTTCGGCGACATAAAACCATTAAAGGGACTAGCTATAGGTATCGTATAAGCACCCATGTTGGGAAAAGCCAACAGATCACCACAACACAAATCTGGCAATTCGGTGTCTTCGATTATCTGAAAATATGCGACAAGAGAAGGGTAAACAAACAAGGTTTCATGAAAATTCTATTCTACTTTTTGTACTGCCTTCGGACTAACTTTTCAATTTTGAAACAAATGTATATGAGAAATGATCACAAAATAACGATTTGAAATGGGCTTGCGGACGGTTATTCAGTTTTTATCGAAGTCAGAATTAGGTTTCCAAAAAAAGCTATAATTTTTAACGCCAGTTTCTTTTCTGACAACTGTAGTGTTTTTATATTAGGCATCTCAAAAACACTACTTCATTGGTCCAAGAATAGTAGTTTTCTAAATCTGTTTTCAAAAATCAGCTAATTTAGCTGTAATTTTGCAGCCAATTATGTTTTAAACATATATGTTTGCGAACGATCTGGCATATATCGAGCTATATTTAGCTTTAATGCAACTTGCGCTCGCTGCTCACATCTAGTTTTCTTACGTTTTTGCTCATAACTCATAAATTATAAAAGATGAAAGCATAAAATTTTCGAAATGTAATATGTGGGGAAATCTATTATTCATGTCCAAGAACATAAATGATCCGCAATATTCACAGGAAGTTATAAGTCATCAAAAGTTCTCAGAATATTCCTTTTTTTGATCTTTTCTACTTATTACTAGTAACGCAAAGGACATATGAAGATACACCGTCTGTCTGCAAATACCAAAAATTGATGATGTTCTCGCAAATTATAAGTGATCAAATCTTAATTTTTTCGTATCTTCGAGTACGTTAAGGAGTAGAACGAAAATTTTGTTCCTGTTATTTCTATGAGCTTGGTGTGCTTGTAACTGTTTTACCGTTCAGCACTGATGATGTCGGCTCCTTCAGGGTTTGTTACAGATTATTTATTTTTGAGAGAGACTACGCACTTAACCCCGCGCTTGAGAATGGGATATGCAATACTAAAGAGGGTTGGGATGATAATACGAAAGATAAAGCTTGCAGTTAGATAGCGTTAATATTAGTAATGATAATAAGTAAGAGCAAAATATAAATTTTATAAAAGTGAAAGCAATTGCTATACCCTGCAAAAATAAAATGAACGATAATAGATAATATCAAATATATATATATATACATATATAAAGTGATATGATCATATCTACAAGAGTATATATATAAGAATATGAACATATCAATAATAATATATGTAAAAATAATAATAATAATGATATAAACAAAAACAATTTATCAGAGCAAGATGATAACGAGATCAATCGCAAAAATTTATAAGAATAATAACAACAATAATAATATATAAAGCAATAATAGCATCAACAATAACATAGTTTTGATGTGAAGGCGTTATTAATGATAACCGTAAATATAAAGCTGGTATATACATACAGATCAGCCAATAACATTGATAGGAACGATATTAGCAAAGGAACCTAAGCGGCAATCATACAACAGCAATAGGCAACCTAGCCAAAATATCATCAGCTGACTACTTCCATGCAAAACACACGTATGTTATGTAGACACTTTTGAGCGCAAAATAAGTTGCACTAAATTCACCATTTAATTAATAATTATTCATCATTTTTATGTGGTCTGACGCATTGTGATTGATAGTTAGCATAATATACGGTAACTTTAGAGCGCTAGAGTGAATTGAAGTAGTACTCTTGCGAAGTGATAGTTCTATATACTAATGTTGGCGAAGACGGTGATATGTGATTTCTCCCTAAGAGGTATAATAAAGTCAACGGTTAAGACTCAAATGTTGACAGCAATACGAAACATGATTAATTTTGCTTCGTCACATGCTTAAGATTTTAATATACAAGAAATCGAATTTCTGTAAACGTCCCAGTTAGCCACATAAAAGTTAAATATGAATTTTTTATTATATAGTATATATACATTTATTATTATCATATTTCATTTCAATTATTCTTATAACCCACTACGGGCACCATACAATTTAAAGTAAAGTAAAGTAGACAATTCGTAGTTTGACGATTAGCAACTAAGACTAAAAATGTTGTAATTTTCTTTGATTAATATATTTCGGCAATTTTTTTCGTGGAAATACCCCGAACGATCAGACTAAAAACATTGCATTAATTAGCTTGTATTTATAAATGACCAATCTATTTGAACCTACCACAAGGCTGTCGCCACGTCTCTATTTCAAAGAGAAAAGAAATTTTATTATTCAGCGTCAGCGTAAGAGTACAATATTTTGAATTCTGCTGCTTGTTATTTTGTAAGATTATAGTCCCAACTAACTTTGTCCTCAACTGTGTTTCGCGATAATTGGAATTTTCGTGATCTAAACAATACATATATGTTTGAATTTTACATTTTACATACATTCCTTTTGCAGAATGGAAACAGTCGCCTTTTACGTAAACCCCCTTTGCGAAGACGATCTAAACGTTCCATTCAAGTTCACATTCGTCGATTCTGTCTCGTGTAGTAAAAGTTGTAATACACACTGAAAATATTCGAAGACTGTCTAATAATATCGACTTTCAACATGTATAATAAGCTATGACTCGGAGCATTTTTAAGTAGTGTTTGTCGAACACGTGATTACTCAAGTTTCTAAGTATTTTAATTTTCCATATGGAGAAGTTGTCACCCGAGAAGATGTCAAAGGTCACGGAGGGATGGATCCTATAAAAGAGACGACCATTCTGTACCCGTGCTATCTGATGACATTGGTCCTTCTAATCCGACAGAATATTTTTCCAAATAAGACGAAGAGCCGTTCCACTTAAACGGAAACCAGCCTGAGTCGGTATCCAGATCAAATGAAATTGATCAATGAAAAACATACCTATTATTGTGAGACAACTCAAAAAGCCACAACAAAGACAGGTGGCTAATCTCGATTAGAATATTACAACCATGTTGAAAAAGAAAAACAAAAGGAAGGTGGGCGTGCGTTCTCACCCCTTACACAACGCGATAGGCCGAAAGCCAATCGAGGACGTAGATTATTACCTTACGCATGACCCGACTGGTTGTGACTGTTTCCGGAGTATCTGCACAAATTCAGGCATGATAGCCAAACTGCACAGATTGCGCGGATATAAAGGAAGATATGAAGCAAGCTTTGGGTCACTGAAAAAAGTTTTAGCTTGGTTCACGCTAAATAGGGCCGAGTGAGATACTGCAGCAGATGATTGGCGGTAACAAGGTCTATAACACGAGCAGTTTAGAAAAAAAGTGCTACAAGAACTAAGACACCTAGAAAGACAGAGGGTGGAGAGAAGATGAAGTGTGGGCAGTGGATGAGAGATGTACATGGGTGGCATTGTTATTAACTAGGCGCCATGCAGGGGAATCGTCTATATTGCTGACAGTAGTATCTTTGAAAGATTTCTACCTCTAGCTCGCATAGAAAAACAAAAAAAAACACACACAATAATATGTGAGGAAAAATTTAAAGGTAGTGTACTTGTTATAGATTGTAGATTGTGTGAATAGTAAAACTGAAGAAAAAATGAACAGCGGTACCTGCGAAAATTAAAGTCATCTAAATATTAAAGATTTCATTTAACTATCAATGAAAAAAATTTTTAAGGGGATTAGACAACAAATTCGAAAAAAATTAGAACACATGACATAAGCGGTATATGAAACAGAGAACTTTGCTCGGTTGCTAGCGAATTTCATCTTATAACCTTTGTTAACAGTTATTTGCGTTTTATTTCGATTTATTTCACGCAAAAAAAAGAGGCTTTTGGTGGTTTTTAAATATTTCACGGTATGTTTATTTCGACAAAGCGTTTGTAAAATCCAAAAGGAAGCGCAACGACCCCATGAGGTGTATTTATTCTTTATCCACATTAAATATCGAATCCATTTAAGAATTTTTCATCTGTCCATCTGCGTGCCTTTCTGTCTTTTATAATAATTTACGAAATATGAAAAAAGTTAAAGTAAAAATAAAAAAAACAAGGTAATCTCTCGAATAGTATTGACTAAAAGTAATGAAAACAATCAGAATATGAGGCTTAAAAGCTTGTCATAATGAAAGCTTAAGTAGCTGCTAAGCAGCTGCCAACTCCAGCGAATATACATAGGAGAGTAAAACTAAGTGAATTAAACAACATTAAGAGAGTTTTACCTTGTCCAAAGCGTCGCAGGTTGGTCCCCATATCAGTGTTTTGAAGCTCGGCAAATAGCTGTCTTTGCCCTTAAAGAGCAGAGGAGAAAGAGATGACCATTTTTCTTTTTATTAGGGCCTTGAAAAAACATACCAGAAAATGATTCACAGTAACTTCCTGATGATCATATAAAATACAGTTGAAGGAACCGTAGACGCCATCGTTCAAATAGTACATTTTCCTTAATAATTTATTATCGTATGGGGAACGGACTTCACGTTTTGCATAAATTTTACAAATCAAGGTATAAGCAGCAGCAACGAAAAATCGTCCTGGTTCTGCAATAACATTAACTTTTCGATCAGGGAAATGACGATTTAAAGACTTATTAACTATAGCAGCAATCTGTGGAATGTGAAAAGCATAATTAAAAACCACTAATTTTCTTTTTAAAATTTTTTATGAAAGACTAACGACTTTAAAATTTTCGTCGCTACTACCGGGAAAACCACCGCCAATATCAAGCAAATCCATATCGTAACCAAGCAATCCACCAAATTTGAAAAGTTTCTTAGCTATACTGATAGCACGATCATACGCAGGAAAATCTTTACAACCAGAGCCCACGTGAAAGCTAATGCCGATGACCTGCAAACGTTAAGGAGCATTGAAAGAAGAAGCAAAAACTTTATCAAATTAAGTTTTAATACAATAATTATTGTTTTTTTACATAACCACCAGAGCAAAGGGAGAAGAAAATATTGATACTCACATTTAACTGTAAGCTTTTCGCCAAAAGCATTAAAGCGCTAGCATCTTGCTCAGCATCGCAACCAAACTTTTCGCCTAAAGGACATTGAACTTCTGCAGCTTCGCATCGAAAACGTATTATTAAACTATATTTTAAAAAAGTGAATGAGTAAATGCGCACTACAAGTTCAAGTCGACATTTGCTTTCATTTCGGCTACAATTTTTATATCCATGTCGATTGAGAATGTTTCAAATCACATCTTCCTAACCTTTCTCAGCATTTGGATGTTTTAAAGTAATTTTCTTCCTCTCTGTGGAATTCTTTCACTTACGCTTTCACTTGAAGTTGTATATTTTTTTGCCAAGTTCGATGGTAGGGGATAAAAAAATTTAATTGTTTTATTTTGAGTACTTACTTTGATTGCGGGTAGTATTTATGAAGCTTATATATTTCAAATTCATTGTCCACGGTGCCATTTAGTACTTGATTGGATCTAGCATATTTTATATGCGACGTCAGCTTGCAAGGATTAGCGAAGATAATGCGTTCCGGTTGAACACCGATGTTAAGAATTTGTTTAATTTCGTTCTTCGAAGCGCAGTCAAAACCAGTACCCAAGTCGGCAAGGGTCTTAATAACTAATTCATCGTCGTTGCACTTAATAGCTAAAAAAGAAAAGAGTCACAAACATCTTGCATTTAACCAATAGAAAAAGTCATTAGAAATCGTCAGTAACGTATGAATCGAAAAACAAAAAAGTGAAAAAAATGTGAATAGATTTGGAAAACGTCCAGAAACGTTCATAAGTGAATAAGTCATATAAAAGAGATTAAACAACTTAAAAACGTTTAGCGCCTTTTGTAATATTTGTTATATTAGAACATATTATTGGCAAAGTATAGTTCTATAGCAAAAAAGCTTCTAAGCTATCATAAAAAAATTCATCTATTTAGGAACTTTTAGTAGCGTTTGCAATTTTGAACTTTGGCTAAAAAATGGCAAAATGAATATTTTTTTGAAAACATTATTATCACTTTCGTACCATAGTAAGGCTTAACACGGGGCATATACTTTCGCCAAGTAATATATTTCTCCTTAATTTTGGTTAAATCACAAATAAAGAGAGCTTCATCAGTATTTTTAAAATCAAATGTTTGTATAACTGTTTTTAATGGTAGTTCAGTACTATAATACGTGATTTCGTTTTTCCCTTTAAACATTTGGGAATAATAAACTTGATTTTTATTGTTTGAATGCATTCGGAATGACTCAACTTTTGCTACTGATTAAAGCTAAGAATATTGTCAGTAAATTTTTCTTTAGTTTTGAAGAGAGCAAAGTTTATCAGTTTTACTATTGGTTGGACGCTTATTTCCATTAATTTGATTTTAAATAAATTATGAAAGAAAAGTTGAAATAAGTTGACTTTCTATTTCATAAACAATTTTGTTCAATTCAATATAGATGTCATGTTACTTGTCTGAAAATTCTCGACGTTGAACAACGAAAAGCTCTAAAGGGTGTTCTCGATACTTTTAGGTGTCGGCTTAATGTGGGCGCTATTGTACAAGTCGTCCACAGAGATAAAAGGTGGCCTTTAACACAAGACACTCTACCGCCATTCCACCTCTTATAAATGAACTGCCTGCATTCGAAACAACAGACTTTCGAAAGTCTATCCTAATGGTGTTAGATCTTCTTTTGTTCCGCTTTTCCTTTTGAATTATTTCACGCTAAAAACCTTGAGCAGTTAAATCGACTAAACAAGTAATTTTTTCGTAGTTTCAGTAAACGCAAAAAGCAAAGTGTTGTCAAATTTATACTCTAACGTAAATTGTAATAGAAATTTACTTTTCAACAAAGCAATTAAAAGTTAAATGCATATGAAAATCGTTTTCTAACGCTACTGGACACATGGTGCGCAAAAATGTACATTGTTTGATCACTTTTGTGCCTTTTTGTTTTTATCAGAGATAACTGAACGAAAAGATGTACCAACATTTCTTAAAAATTAGAAGTACTAAAGTCTAAGGGACTTCTAGAGTTTGTGTTATCGACGGCAGTAATAGGACTGTTAATTAGCAAGGACTTAATTGCTTGCTCTTTCATTTCCACTGCAAAAATTCTGCTAATGCATTTTTGATATTATGTTACACTTTCTGAAATCTTTTAAAAAAACAAATAGAATTCTGTACTTTCAGGTGAAGTGGTATACGTGCAGTACATGCGTAAAAGAAGAGCAAACCGTGGCTAGATAACAAATATGCATTGTTTTCGTTTTATCATTTATTCCACGTTCATAAACTGTGTCAGGAATTGATTATTCAACTTATTTTTGTTCGTTACAAATTTAATTAAACGCAAAAGTTTGACAATTGAAGGAAGTCATTGAACGAAAATCATTGAACGTTTGATCAAAAGAGAAAGAAAATGAAAAGTGATATTTTAAAGACGCAAACAAGTAAAAGACAATATTATTAAATTTAACAATTTCCTATCACCCCATGAATTAATTTGAGAAGATTCGGCAGCCTGTATCTTGAAAACACTATCTATAGTTTCGGCATTGTCTTTTTCACAGTATCTTCTTAGTACCTGTCCGTAAGAATTTGGAAACATTGAAAAGTCATCCCATTGTGGTACTTTCCAGAATTTGCATAGCTCTTTGATCAATTTCAGTCATTAATTAATATGGCAAATCTACGCACTGTGGCCCCATTTTTTGCTTTGTGTGTAGAAACTTTAAAATTTCTTTTTTATTTTATTGCTTTGTACGGTTTTATAAACTAATTAATCATAAAAGTGTTCAAATTTATTGTGACATATTGAACTTTTTAGGTTGATATCATTTTGGTTTTTGCAGTCAGCACTTGGCGCTCGTCAAAAAGTGTCGTTCTTATTTTTTGTGTGTTGTTGCTTCCAAACGTCTGCCTTGGTTTGCGGCCTTTACATTTTTCTCTTTGTTTACTGTGTTTTTAATCGTGCTAATTTAGGAGATCATTTTTGAAGGCATGTAAATTTTTTGTTTTTTGTCGCTCCGCTATTTTCGGCCGTTCTACAAACGCAGTTCTAGATCCTTCGGAAGGATTACGTTGGTCATGTTTCAACTGTAGAAACCAAGACATTGATTTTTACAACCTTTTCTCGTAGACAAGGAATGGTTTTTGTTAATTAAGTAAAAATTTCGTGACATTGTGCGCAAAGTTTGAAAAAATTAAGACAATGTTCGATGAGTATCGCTATCTATGGTACTTACCTCCTGCTCCAGCCTACGAAACACCAACTTGTAGCGTAGCGTACGGTTCTTCAGCTGGTTCTGCGTTTAAATCTCATACGCCAACGCATGTTGCTCAAATACTCTCTCTCCGAAGTAATACTCGTGTCAAAACTGGCGCCTGACACCTCTGACGATGATATAAAAAGTTATCGTGCTACAAAAGCCCCATCCGTCAATTTAAAACGTGTTAGCATTTTTAAATTGGCTTCGTTTCAACATAGAGAAATTTCGTGTTGTAAGTTCCTACTGAAAACATGGAAATTTTGTTAAATAATCCATTATGGCAAGTTAGATCCTGAAAAAAGGAATTCATTCCTTGGGATGGCCCCATAATACTTATTCGTTGGTTCTTCCAGCCTTAAAAAACTGAATGATTCTTCAGCTCCAGTAACTTTCTTTTACCAAAGAGGTCTAAACTCAAAAATTCGCTGTACACACCTAAATTCAGTGAGCGCAGAGTTTTACGGTTTGACTTTCACTGAAACCTGGAACTTAGATTCGTCGGAACTTTTTGAAAATCCTTTGCACTTTTTTAGAAAGGATCGACGGGATCGCACTGGTGATAGTGTACTAATTGCCATATCTGCTCCAATCCTGTCCTATTCATTTGAATTTCCTACTCCTGACGTTGAATTTATTGTCACTCGAGCGCAAATTGCCAGTAAACAGTTGTATGTAATTTATTCTTATATTCCTCCAAATGCGAATATCTCTGTTTGTAAGAAACATGCGCTCACTTGCGACGTGGCCGAAAAGTTTGAACCTGCTGATAGAGCCGCAGTGTTGGGGGATGTCAATTTTCCGCAAGCCACTTGGTGTTATATAGATAATGCTGGCACTTCAACAACTGATAGAGCTATGGTGTTTATTAATGAACTACTTGATCATAATTCACTTCAATGTAACCGTATTCTTAACTATAATGGCAGACTGCTTGATCTAGTTCACCTAAGTATTCGTATCATCTTACATTATGATATCTTACTGCTTAAATTTCATGTTCCCACAAAAATGGGAAAGACGAACTTTTGGAAAAGTTTATGAAAAGTTATTCTGGTTATGACTGCTTCGCCGTTTTTGTTGGAAGGGATCTACTTAATTATCTGAATCACCAATGTTATTGCAGACATCTTCGGCTGATAAAATCCTCACACTCCTAGTTAATTTTATAACTTTCCCGGTTTCGATTCCTAAATTGGTAATTTCAGAAAATGACGTTTTGCATGTTTTGAAGTCTCTAAAGTATAGTTGTGCGCCTGGGCTTGATGACATTGCAGCACGTATACTCAAATCATGCTCTGACAAGTTGTGTCACATTGAAAACGAAAGCGGCGTTGCCAAGTTGAGTGTCTTACCTAAATTTTTTGAGGAAATTGTTACTCAGCATTTAGCTTTTGCTATCAAATTTTATATTTCCCCATTCCAGCATTGCTTGCCAAGTTTTTATAGCGTTTGACGCGTTTTTCTATAGCATTTTATTTAGTGAACCATAACTTATTGATCTTGAAACTCTATGCCTCAAATAAATACTTGTCTTCATAACAGATCATCCAGGATTCTGTTTAACTTCATCACCACGGATAGTTTCCCGTGACGTCTGAGAACGCTCAAAGCAACCACTTAGGACTCCTTCTATTTAATGTATACTTTAATGATCTTTCCCCGGTGATTAAATTCAGCCAGATCTTCATGTACAATGACGATGTTAAACTGTCAAAATCGTATCAACTTCAAAATGACTTAAATAATTTGGTTACGTGGTGCTCGTTAAATTCTATGAAATTAAATTTTAAAAAATGCAATGAGCTTTCTTTCTCAAGCAAGACGTCATTCCCTGTTGAATGTTTGATCGATTGACACAAGTTGGAAAACGTAGATTCGTTCATCGAGTTAGGGGTGGTGTTCAACGAAACATTACGTTTTAATCTGTACATTGATTTATCTTTATGTAAAACTAGGTAGGAGTTAGGCTTCATTACGAAGTGGTCCAAAGAGTTTAAGGATGCCTACATTGTAAAAAGGCTATACACTTGCTTAGTTAGACCAATACTTGAATATGCTCCCGTTCTGTGGTCTCTTTCCTAAGGATGTTATGTAGATTCAATTGAATCAGTTCAAAAATAGGTTGTTTCCTTACCGTCACTTAAGAAACGTAGATTTATTTTTGGCGTTTCCGTCTTAACTAAGTTAATTGATGGTACTATCGATTCCTCCATATCTCTTAACATCTCAGTGTGATTCGAAAATTAACTTTGTATTTTTGCAATGGTTTAGGGGTTCACTTGTATCTTCGATCTATACTAGTTATGGGTGTGTCTCTATACTAGCTGTGTGTATGCCTTTTTTTTACTTATTTAATGTACATTTCTCCTTATATACTTTGCGTTATTTTTTAATAATAATTAGTATAAGATTTTCTTCTTAAAGTCAATTGAATTCGGCTGTTCATTTATTTTAACTGGGTTCCATATGTAAGTAAATAAATAGATACATAAATAAAAACTTCATGAGTGTGAATTCTAAAAGTTTCCAGACATTCTCTTTCTACAAGCTTTCTATTTTAGCTTTCGATATATTAGCATTGGCCATTTGTGGGAATATTAAATACTTTACAGAGCATTCGCTTTACTCTTTATAGGTAGGCTTCCATAAATTCACACGTTCAACTTTTCTTCACTTTCTTATGTAATTCTTCTCCATTTTTTGTTGGCGGTTTTGCCTGAACGGTGTTATCGCTGCGAAATTTCTCAGCAATAAGTTTTATGAGATCATAATCCCCAGATTTCTTTGTTCACTTTACATTAGCGCCACCCAGCTTTCGATTTAACAAATTGTCTTTATGCAGTAGTTTCGTTCATCTTTCGCCTTTCTGCATTATTCATTTGGGCACGTAGCTTAGCCTCCAGATTTTCCTTTTTTTATAGATGTGGAGAAGTATTGCTGCGTTTGTAAATATCTTCCAAAGTCAATAGCTTCGTCATTAATATGATCTCGTTCCTTCAAAATTATATTTTTGTATTTTGCTAAATGAGCAAATTCGGCAGAATTATGGTTTTTTTCGTCAATATTCAAACCTGCTAGGCAACTGTGAACTGAATTATTATCAGCTGGTGTAACGATGAAGGCGGGATTTTCGGGGATAAGTGGATTCAATGGTAGAAGTGAAGAATTGTTGTGCAAGAGTCTGTGATGACATCGAAGACCGGAATTTCGTTGACATCTCCTCTTAAAATGACAGCTCTTTGTAAGATGGTCGGTGATGGCGCATTGTGCTCTGCACCTGCTCCGCCGATTTGGTAAAACGTAACGTCCCCTGTTCAAAATTTGTTGCGATGTTTTGTGGCAAGATTTTGGAAACTGGTTGTAAATTGAAATTGGGACCTTCCGTCAAAGGATTTAGTGTACACTATTGCTGCAAGTAGATATGACGAAACACGGCAACCGGAACCAAACGAATTGAATAAAGTTGAATTGTTGAATTTGTAAATAAAAACATGTCGAGAATCGTTTATTCAATCTGATTTTTTCTCGTTATAAATTCAAGTAAATCAAAAATTTTGACAAATTGGAAGCCTCGTTAAACGCAAATCATTTAACGTCTGATCGGAAGGGGGAAGAATATGAAATGTAATTTTACAAAGTGTAAACAAGTAAAGGGCAACGTCAGTAAATCTAACAGCGATATTCAACATGGCGAAGTGGTGTATGGAATTTAATGGTGGGCCAGAACCCACTATAAAATTTTCTACCGCGTTAAAAGAAATGCGATGTTTGTAAATCCTTACTGTACGTCTACTCAAACGAATAAGCGGAAACGGATTTCAACAACTTTCTTAGGGAATTTGATTGCGCCAGCTAGTTCGGCAGATGTGGAAGTTTTATATTTTGTTTCTCGGACACTCCTCAGACGTTTACACCTAGGAGAAGCATGTACTTACCATTTAACGAATACACGGACAGACGAAACCTACCGAACGGGTACACCCTAAGTCCAGGCATTTTCTACACCCTACCCCATCTAATGGTCTTCTTCAACCCACGATGTTTATAGGATACCCCGAAGTCGGGTCCGAAGAGTCCTCTAACCTGCCTTCCTCTCATCTATCGACAAACTCTTTTTATTTAACGTAAAAATTACAAAGGCAAAAATAGTAAATATAAATTAATTCCAATTAAAAATTAGTATTTTAAGATTAAAGCGTGGGCCAAATATACAAATCAGTGATCTTTTAAATTATTAATTATACATAAATACAATTATACAGGTGCTTATACTTAATTAGATACAACTTAGACGTCAAAAATCATCAAACCATGATCCACGTAATAAAAAGGGCACATCAACATCAATAAACAATGATGCAATAATAAAATACAACAATAAAAATGATTATGTGGTGTCATTTCCAGCATATAAATAAATCTCAAGGAAAGGAGGTTTGCCAATAAATGTTCATTTAATAGATGTTGCTGTTATGCAGTAGCTTGCAATTAAGGACCTTTAGCTAACGTGCAATTTTTGCTGTCACTTTTCCTCACTTTATCTTTGATATCTTAGAATCATCTTAATAAACCTTTGCCTCAAATCAAAGATGATCTTTATTTTTAACACAAATTTCTTTAGTTAAAAAAGAATTTTCAGTATTTTTTATACAATCAAAAGGAAGGTTCAGAGACACTGTAAAGTAAATATATTCTTGATCAGCGTCAAATTCTAAATTGTTTTAGCCATGTCTGTCTGTCTATGTGCATGTGCTTGAGTCTCTATGTGGTTATGTGTCTGTGTGGTTTTTGTTGTTTGCACACTCCTGGTCGCAAAACTCAATACATCGGTAGAAACATTGGAAGTCTTTGCACGTAGAATGGTACTGAAAACGGGCCATATTGGTCAGAGTTAAGCCCGCAGTAGAGCATATATTGAACTCAACCCGATTTTTGTTAACAAAAATCTGTGGGATTTTGGTCGTTACTCACAAATTATAGAAGCTGCCAGAGTGAAATTTTCCATATTTATTCTGTGACCCACTCTACTCTTTATGTGCAAAAATTTAAAGAATGCGCCATGACCACACAAAGTTACAAGTAATTAAATTTTTCCCCCTTTTTTTTGTTCTATGCTTATTTCTCATTAGTCAAACAATAAAGAATGTTTAAAACTATTTCGTACATTCCTCAGATGAAGATATATTATCTGTTTATAACGGGTTAATTCTAAAACGAATATGACACCCCGACCTGGTAGTTTAATTTTTTTTCTTAATAATACCAGCGATATGAGCATCAAATAAAAGAACTTGGAGAGAAGAATGCGAAAGGGAGAGTGGTGGGTATGCGGGCTACGGCCCCTGCCGACTATAGCTTTCTTACTTGTTATATGCGTATTATTTTTCTCTTCGAAATATGTAAACAAAAATTCCATCAAGTTTTAATAGTTTTTCTAAACTGTTCATCCTCTCTGCCACGGCGACGGTGACAACATTAAACCAAAGTCAAAGTCTCGCTTTGTGTGACTTATCAAGAAGCTATACTGAAAGAGTGGTATTGCAATGGGCACAAGAAAAAGTGGAAAGCCATTGATAGCAACGTGCTGCAGAACGGTAGGCGAAAAGATTCATATGATTCTGATATGACACATACTGAAACTAGGAAGAAGCGACCTACGTTTAGTTACGAGTTTCCACACGGGTCATAATTTCTCAGGTATCATTTGGCTGACACTAGCATCGATGAGTGTGTCGTTGAAAATGGAGATATATATATATATAAAGAATAGGTTTGTGGAACACATCTCTTTATACTTTAAAGCCTGTGGCTTGGTGGCAAATAAAGTGACCAATAAATTGGTGACGGCTGAAGCTGAAATGAAATATTTAAATTGGTCTCTGTTAAGCTCGGGTCTATTGTTCATTAATCAATATTTTAATTGCGTAGTGCCGACAATATGGTTTCACTAATTTGGATACCTGAAGAGTTAATGCGGTACTGTGCACAAGTCAGTTCGGAAATATAAGCTCGTTTACAAATAGATCTATTTACAATTCTTTACCACGCACTGCGATTAATCAAGACACTCAATCAAGGAATAGTGCGTCTATCAGCAGTTCTAGCGATATGAATGACGCCCACATAATCGAAGGATCTTCTCGCCAAATAAATAAGAAATATCAATCTCCAAAAATTATGACCCTGCGTACTTCTTGTACAATCTTATCCTTTAAATATATGTAACTATTTTACCGAACCAAGTAAGTGTGGTCACATGTGTTTATATTCATTATATTTTATAAACAAAATAAAAACGATTTTTTTCTCTTATCTATAAAAGCGGGAAAACATACGTAAATATAAACATAAATACCCATAAACATAATTAGAACTACAGAAATTAAAGCGTAACTATTATATATTTTAACATCTTAAACATTGACTAATATGCAAAGGAAAAAAAAGCCAATGAAATAACATATAGTTTTATTAAATATGAAAGGAAAGTAGTTTACGAATCTTCGGACTCATTTTCGGGGTCTCCTATAGATATCACGGGCCGAATGACACCATAGGCAGGACAGGTATAGAAAGGCTCAGAGGCACAAAAGATCTCCGTTCGGCAGATTAGGTTACGTGCGTGCGTGTGTTCGTTAAGAGATACGTGCTGTTCTTGTATTTGTAACAGGCTGAGGAGTGTCAGTGTCCCAAAAATATGGAATCCCTCCCGCATCTAACGAACTACCTAGCTCAAAAAAGGCACGTACATCGATCTCATACGCCTCCAATCCTTCTACCGCGCTGACCTGCTCAACTTGTCAACATATTCTCAATGTCATTTTTGGTGAATGACCCATTCCTGAAAGTGCTCTATTTTGCACTGCTAAGGAGTTAATTAAGGTCAAGATAATGAATCCTTCCTTTTTCCAGAAAGTTATATCTGGCAGTGATATTGCCCGTTGGGGCTAAACATATTGCTATCAAAAACTCCGTCTAATTTTTAACAAAATAAACTCAATCCCTCTCCAGAATTTTGTTACTAATAGATGTAGCGTCGTCATGAACACCCTTGAATCGACCTCTACCTCGAAGCAAAACGTCAATATTTGTTGCATGAGGATTTTACGTCAAGAAAAGCTTCTTCTTTATTACAACAACGACTATGATATATATGCCACTCACTGTTCCGTCGGACATAATGTATATAGCTTTTAGGTAGTGAAGCATCTGTCTAAAATAGTACATAGAGATAAAATTGCAGCAGAACTTTCCTCCACCTTTGCAAAATTGCTTGCCGTGAGACATTCTGCTAAGGTAACTATTATGGATGTTCTTAAACAAATTTTTGTTTTTTCTGATAGTAAGTCGGCTCTGCTTCTAATAAATAAAGGGGGTGCACATAATCAATAGGTGTTTGATATATACAGCATGCTATATGAATTTCATGTGGATGACTGTCGCCCGGATTGGTAACCTGATCACACCAGTTTTTTTTTACTTTCATGCAAAAAGGTCCTAAATTGATGGTACAATTTCGTCCATCAAATATTCTCCCAATGAAGCAATACGGGCAATTCGTAACCAAACCGTTCAACAACTAAATGATGAATTTGAAGAGATTGTCCATGCAAAATTCGATTGCCTTTTCTAAACCCCTTTAACTTTAAACCCTTATCAGAGACCCATATCGAGATTAACTATCATGACGGCAGTTTGTTTTTTTTGTGCTTTATATACGTTTATTGCTAATAATTACTATTGTTTATTATCTGGACAACTAAGTTGCATTGCCATTCGAAATGGCTTAAATGCTTAACGCATGCTATACGACTTGGAAGAACGTCAAATGCCAATGAGTTGTGAGTAATAAAGTGCAGACTATGACGTAATTTGGAAGAAATAAAATTTAGGATGTGTTTATGATGCTAAAGAATTTAAATCACTACATAAAGGATATTGAAGCACTCAATGTTAATTTATACGTTTTTTGAGGAAGTTCATTATCTTTCACGGAGACTACACCGGCCAAATTGGGTGACCAATCCAATGTGCAATGTTTTAAAATAAAGTGCACCTCATTCCTAGTTTTGTGTTACATACACAAACGGCAACTTTTTAATTTTCACAAAACATCTTTAAGCGGATGTATTGCTTATATTTTTTATTTCAACACAATTAAATTTGAAAGAGCAGAAGATATCTTAGTTTATATTTCCTCACATATTCGCCTGAATTGGAAGGCCTCTAGTGAAACGTCGACACCGCCGTAAAAATAAGATCCCATGATCCATGAAATCCAAAGTTTGCCTCCGTAATTTTTACCTGTTCTCAAACCTTACGAATAAAATATTTACGTGTGTACAGACAAAAACATAAGTGTATGTAAGTGAACTCACCGTTTCATTCTAGCTGTGCTTGCCTTTTCGGTATATGAAACATTCTCGATTTTGTGTGGGCTTACGAAAATAAATGTTGACTGCATCCCCGCATCCAGTCACGTCAACAAATATTGGAAATATTTCCAATATCGATTATTGTACAACGACATGTCACAAGACTATGAAAAGCACAACAAGAAGTTATATATCCCCAGGAACACTAAATTTCCTATACAACCATTTTTTTGTGCTAGCAACAACAGCCCATCGAATCCATTCCGTGCAAAATTTTTCTCCATTTATTGTATCATTTCTGATACAACAGCAACAAATGGTGCTCTGTGCAACGCTTAGGTAGAAATCGCAACCCGGCAGCGATTGATAGTCTCGAGACCCCCGCAACTCCAAAGTAAGTTCTAAACGGATCACTGGGGCATGCTTTTTTATGCCATCACTCGAACCAATTTTTTCTAAACCAAAGCCTTTTTTGACACGCGAGAATTTTGCAGAAATGGACATGTAACGATATTAGTACGTGTATTTTAATTTACATTATTGACATATGTATAAAGTCATTTGCTTACACATATTCGGGTTATGTAATCGGATTTGGAACATCCCGCAGGTCCCTTCTACCTCTTATAAGATTCCTTTTCCTCCAATCTCGATGTTGTTCTACTGCCAAATGACACAATACAAGGAAAGGAACCTTTCCGCCAGATCTGTATATATTTCTCAACATTTTTTGGTTATTTAATAACACTTACCTACTTGTTGGTTTTCTTTGTTAAAATGGGTTAGTTGGCGATAAGGCCAATATATCCAATAGACTGTTAAATGTTTATTTGTTGCTCCGTTGCGCTTTATCAACGCAAACGACAGCATATTATGATCTATGGAAAAATTGATGATACGCAATGGATTACAAGCTTTGGCGAATTGAGAATATTAATTTGGCAAAAGAAGTGAAAAGCAGATAAAAAAAGTAATTTATGTTACTTTCGCAAATTTAAAATTTTTGTTTTTGTTCAGCTGTTTGTAAATAAACAATTTTGTTCGCAATTTATGTTTGCAATTTACAGCTCTTTTCTGTTATAAATGCAACGCTTAACAACCAATACAAACTCAGAACAACCAATGCTAACACAAAGCGTCGGCAATTTTATTTACGGTGGTTTTGCCAATTCTGAGAAAGGGTTTCGGGCACCTCTTGTACGCAAATATAGATAAAAAAGTCGAAACTCGAAAGTGAAAACTAGTTAACATCACAACAATTAACGCCTGTTAATTGTACTTTACATCATATAAGTCACTTTTAAAAAAAATTTTTCACTTTGTGAATTTTACACTTTACTTAATTTACTGTTATACGAACATTCCATTTCAAAAAATAGATTATACATAGTCCTCATATATAAAAACCAAGGAAAGAACTTATGAAAGTAGCTTACTTATTACACAAAAATAACATGTCTTTGCTATAGTAGATGCCCACTTGATAAAGGCATAACATCTACCGACTGGCCACACACCCACTTTGTTGCGACCGCTTTCCTATCCACTTTCCTCACTTCTTTATGAACGTTGCCGTGTTGCTTGTACAGGAGTAATCGCTGAGTGAGTGGTCATTAAAAAAAAAAAATGTCTAATTCGAATACACTAATCAGAACAATTCAAATTCCGTTTTTTAGATTTAAGAACCAGTTTTTAATATTTTAATTTAATATTTTTATTGATTGTAATTATGTTATAATTATTTTGGGTACGATTCATATTTAAATTGAAAATACTATGGATCATAAACCTGAAGTATGTTACAGAAAACAAGCCATGTGAAATAAATAAATAACGCGTCTTGTGCAACACATCAAGGCGATTCTACAAAATTACATGAAATGCTCCAAAATACATGGGCATGTAAGGTAAAACATTAAATGAAAATAATACAAATTTTTTCTTTATTCTAAAAAAATACAAAATTTTTCTTTTATTCTGACAAATACTGTCATATTTCCAAAGAAAATTGGCACAGAATTTTATTGCGGCATTTGGCAAGCATAAAATTTAAAAATCTTTGATCTGAGTTGATGTAAATGGTGAAAGTAAACTGCATTCACAACACTCCGTACATGCAAAATTGCATATGCTTACCTTTCGTGAATAGTTTCATCTAGTTTAGCGTTATACCAAGAAACAACAAGAATAAAGCAGCAAGCAGTCAAATGGCGGCCAACCACTATGCGTGATTTTTGTTACATTAAAAGAAATGTCGAAAGTACACAAGATACCTACTACCTTCAATATATATAATATATATATAATATAAGATCCGATAAAAACAAACGATATCAAAGAGATTTGCTTAAGCAATTATATGTAAGCGCACGCCCAAAATTTTTCAACTTTTGATTTTTTTATGTTTGACCGTTTATGTTCTTATGAACATTATCTTACAGATAATTTCGACTTTTTTCGGATAAATACAATTATATTTCTATATATTTATATATTTATTGCCAAAAAATTTTAATTATAATTATTCTTATTGATTTCTGCAATATAATATAAATAGATATATATAAATATATTTCCTATTACTGTTATTAAAAGCAAAATATTGTAATCACTTCCAATTTCTACATATTCATCAATACTCAATTTTGCCCAAATGTCCTTTAAATAAAAATATATTTCATCATGATCCAGTACCGAACCAAACCCGGCACTACAACTAAAGCTCACCATTTTACCAACTGCACCACAGCGCTAATATATGTTCTTGTGGTTGAAACTGTTATTTATGGTTCATATGTATTGTTATTCTATTTAATCCAAATGTTTTTGTTCAATGTTCAATTTATAACGCATATATGCGTACATTTAAAAATTCTCATGGAAAATGCCACCTGATGTCTGATCTACAAGGATATTTCTTCCCGACACAACTTCAACAAGTTAGAAATTTGCAGATTAAGCTTTTTGTAGCAGTGCGATCGTAGAAATACAGATTTGATAACAGAGCAAACGTATTTACACCATTATAACTTGTTTGTTGCACAGTACAAGTCCAAGAGTTTGATACAAACGACATTTTTTATTTTTATATTATGCGCCTGAGTGGTCGAGTAGGCAAGAGTCTCCTCCAACAAGTCAATGGCCGTGATTTCAAATCTCAAGTGCGATACAGGTTTTCATAAAGCCGAAAGCCTTAGATAGCTAGCGCTTTAAGACTTTAGAATTTATAATAATAATAATGATAATATTTTTATAATATTAAAAAAAGTATAAAAATATATACAAGTGCAAAACGCCAAAGTGACAAGTGCCCAAAAAATTCATTGTGTCTGGCAGTAAAAGCTGCATAGAAGATAACGTGATTTAATTTGTACGATTTTCCAAAATCACTCGAATACAGAACTAAAAGTGTGAAAATTTGGGGATTGTAGCCGAATCACTTAAGCCTTCGTGGTAAGTTTGCAGCCATCATTTCGACCACCGCCTAATCGACAAGTTCTACTTACGTAAGCATGCTATTTCGAGATTGCACTTAGGCATATTTTAAGCAGATTTTTAATATTATCATAAATTTATTATATTGAACGAATTACAAAGTGTAGAAAGGATATTCATTCCATTAAAATTATTTGCTAATATTTTAATACGCTCTCAAGGAGGAGTTCTCCGCTGCGAAGCCCACGTCATGGTAAACGGGACGCAAATGCGCAGTTCCGCGGTGCAAAGTGAACTCTTTAAATAGTTTTGCTAAATTATTTGTTGTACCTGAGGGCGAGCTTGGTAGAGCATAGGCGGCTTGGTTAGTATTCGAACTAACTCAGAGGACAGTGCTTGTATGTGAAAAGCATTTCGCCAAAGATGGTACACAGAAAATTGCTTGAAAGCTCCCTCCTGTTTAATTCATTTGCGGGGAATATTTTCTTCGAGAAAGTAAGAGTTCTAGATACAAATTTAAATGATAAGATAGCTGCTAGGGACTAATATAGACGAGGAGAGTGAAAATGCAATGACAGGTATGCCAATGGGAAGAACCTATGGACAAAAAGAACCTAATGACTTAACATTCGAAGAGTTTCAGCAATTCAGTGATCTAGAAGAAAAAACACAACGTTGCTGTTTAGAAATAATTGAATGTAGTGAGGAATGTAGAAAGAGAAATGAGAAACTCATAAAGTTTATATAGCGAACGAAAAGAAATTGCTAAAATAAATCGCGAAGTTAAGGGAACCAACAGGAGAACAAGAGAGAGAAAATTATTGTGAGCTAGGACGAGCTGTGGATTTTTCGAAAATATAGAATTCTAGGTGACAAGAACCCATTGAAAGGTCTGGCTAAAGTTACACTATAAGCACCCATGTTCGGAAAAGCCAACACATCATCACATTGCAAATCGGGTAACTCCAAATCTTCGATTATCTAAATACAAGAAACAAAAAGCACCAAATAATGGAAAACATTTCATAATAAGATTAAACCTTTAATACCTTATCCAAGGAATCACAGGTAGGCCCCCAAAGAATAGTTTTAAATCTTGGTAATTTATTTTCCTCGTTTTCCTCCTGAAAGATAGTAGTAATTAATATTCTTAATTTCTTATTCCTTTATTTTTTTATCAGATCGACTTACCAGAAAATGTTGCACAGTAATTTGTTGATGTTCGTAAAAAATTCCGTTAAAAGAACCATACATGCCATCGTTTAAATAATACATTTTCGTTAATAGCTTATTATTAAGCGGTGAACGGATTTCTCGCTTTGCATATATCTTGCATATTAAGGTATAAGCGGCGGCGACGAAAAAGCGTCCTGGTTCAGCTATAATATTTACATCGTCATTAGGAAAGTGAAGTTTTAGTGAGCTGTTGACAATATCAGCTATCTATCAAATGCGAGGAATATTAAAATTTAAAAGAATTTTCGAAATTAGTTTATGTGAGGACTCACATTTTTAAATTTCTCATCATCATCTCCGGGAAAGCCCCCACCAATATCTAATAAGCGCATATTAAAACCGATTAATGAGCCGAAATTGAAGAGCTTCTTAGAAATTCTTATAGCGCGTTCGTATGCAGGCAAATCATTGCAACCTGTACCAACGTGAAAGCTAGTACCTATGACCTAAATAAGAAGTAGGTAATGTTTTTTGAATTTCACTTTTACGGAATATTACGAACTTAGAGGCGCGTGGAAGCGCATTCTGTTTAATAATATTAGAAAAGTGTATGCCATACCTTGTTCATCTTGTCATAGGGGAAATTGTCTAAATAGAGACATCCCTCGTACAATTCGGTACCTGTCAAACGCAGTAAAATACTCGGTACTTGTTAAACATAGTTTAAAGGCAGATAATGTACGGTACAAAATTTGTGTCTGTTACAATCGGTTTTGTAATAACACGATTTCAAAAAATTGTGTATTACGCGGGATTTTTTTTCAATTATTTTTGCTTTTATGTTTACTTTATCATTAATAAAAGAAAGATCAAGCAATTTTAGATTACTTGTAATTTTTGTCATCATTATTATTTTTTGAATATACATCTAAATTTTGTATTGCATTATAATGTCTAAGTTCTTATATTTTCTTTTTTTTTATAAAAACTTGAAGTTAATTTACTTTTACATTAACACGTGCCTTTGGAACCAAGTTTCAGCTATCACAAAATTTGACACGTTGGGAGTTAGTTTCGATTCAACGCGTGATTGATTTATATTATATCTAAGTTTAAATTGTACAAAGCTTTATTATAATTTAGTTTAAATAAACAAATAAAATATTTCCGCACAACACGGCTTCGTTTCGGTGCATTAGCCGCCTTATTTAAGGGATGCTTGTATACTTGACTTGAATTTAAATATGAATAACAAGGTGCATTGCAAATCCTACAGTTTTCTTTTACTTGTTGAAATTTAATTTTTTTGACTTTGCAAAATGAAAAAACATTCACAAAACACTTTTATTTTCAATAACCGTAATTAATTCGAAGTCATTTTATGCAATAAAAGGCAGTTCATTTTCGGTCCCTCTCAAGCAAAATTGAAGTGAAGCGTGAAGTCATCGTCAGACAATATATCTCATTTCATAACTTTCAATTAATAAACTTAATGCAAAGTAGCTTTCAATTTATATTATATATTACTTACGTTTAATTGCAAACTTTTTGCTAATAACATTAAAGCAGGTGCTTCATGTTCGGGATCACAACCGAATTTGTCCCCAAAGGCAATTTGGGCATCTTTGGCGTCATATCGAAATCGTATCACTAAACTGATTTGAAAGGAATTAAAAAAAATAGTAATAGTATGGATTGTCATTACGTATATTATATACGTACACTTACTGGGATTCCGGATAATGCTTATGAAGCTTATAAATCTCAAATTCGCTGTCAACAGTACTGCAACGTACTTGATTTTCTTTGGCATACTCTATGTGTGATGCCGGTTTACAAGGATTGGCAAAAATAATACGTTCTGGCTGAACGCCGCTATTAAGAATTTGTTTAATTTCACTTTTTGAAGCACAATCAAAACCGGTTCCCAAATTTGCTAAAGTTTTCACAATCAAAGGATCTTCATTGCATTTCAAAGCTAATAAGGGAATGTAGTTTGTTTTTGGTGCTTTTTGTTACAATGAGAATTAAAACCTACCGTAGAAAGGTTTGACCCGTGGCATGTATTTTTGCCAAATTTGCAGTTTCTGTTCAATTTTGCTTATATCACAGATGTTTAGAGCTTCATCTACATCTTGTAAATCGACTGAATTAATGATTCTTCTCAGATTTAGTTCATCACTGTAGTAATTAATTTCGCTTTCTTTAAACATTGTTTGTAATTTTTTTATTTACTTTTTTTTCTGTTTGAATTCTCTTCTTTAACACTGCGCACAATGAACTAAGCTGTTTAATAGCTTTGTACAGAAGATTTATTTAATTTTTATTTCATACACAGATTTTAATTATAATTAATACAGACATTAATTATATGGTAATTTATACCCTTTATACCCTATAATTAATAAATTATATGCTTTGTAAAGGCGTCGATAGTAAGATTGTTAAACAATTGATTAAAGTGGATTAAAAACAATTAACAGTAGATATTGTAATATAAATTTTTAATCTCACGCCTCACATTTCATGTCGAATAATAATTGCCCTTCACTTTTTCTTTACCTAAAAATTCATCAAAAAATGCAAGCAAAAATATTTCAGCATTTTCAACAATTTCTGGTACCAAATAAACACATTTCTCACTTAACTAATTCGGAATTTACGAGCTTGCGATCATTTTAAGTTTCGTTCTCATAAGTACCAATAAAATAAATATTGAACTCCAACGGCGCATTTCTCATTTAGACATTTATTGTTGTAAATTATTTGAGGTTAAAATCTGCGATAAATTATATGAAAATGTCTACAAATGTTTGCCTTTTCACGCTGCTATGCTGCGTGATTCCATTTTTAAATTGGAATTATGAAGTGGTCATATAGATATATGTGACTAGAATCAATTTTTTATTTTAAATTTTTCACCCTCCGTTCAACTTCAATATTACGAAGATGTGTAATCGTCCGGAGCAAATTTTGACAACTTTCATATTTCTTTAGCAAATTATTTGGTATACTTTCTGAAATTCGCTGAATATGTGGTGTATAAATCAGCTTTGAATTTTAAACCATATTTCCGAGAAGTGAAACATACGCTCTAGAGGACTTAAAAATTAACATTTTAAATTATTAGTCATGTCAAATGTTAATGAAATGTAATGAGAAAATTTTCATATATTTTCCCCAGTATAAATTATTTCCTATAATCATTGCAAATTACCATTTCTCATTAGGGAAAGTGACTTATGGCATTTTGAAAATAGTTTAGAAAAATTACTGACTTATATTAATTTTGTCCGATACATTCTGCGCATGTTTTGAAATAAGCAAATTGACGAGATAATATAGAAAAAGATAATTATAATTTATATTATGTACTCCATATAAAGGTGTATTCAAGAACTTTTTATTATAATATACATAAAATACAGAAATAAGTAGCACATTTTGTAACATAAGTAGAAGGAATTCATAATTATAACCTATTTCATATAAAAGTACACCAGTTCAATTTAATGATCGCCATTAATACGAGTGGTTAAGTCCTCGGAATTCGTGGCTTTTTTCAAATTTTGTAAATAACTGTGGTATATTGGAGATACACAACGAAGCAAGTCCATCATGGTTTCATGTTGTGTTGAAGTAACACGGCGAGAACTAGCGTATAAAGGATCCATTTCTATTTGTGAATTACGCCTAACTTTTCCTTATTTTGGTTAAGGTTAATTTATAAAACGTTTTATAGGCTATCCTTATCCATTGATTTTTAGCCAATTAATTCCATTTTGGTTTAGATTTATTGTTTTTCCTGCAACAAATTTTTCCAAGGATCGTATTGAAATAAAATATTTTGTTTCCATGTTAGGTACTGTTATCACGCTATAATAATCATTTGGAGCATATAAAGCATTTCTTTTTTCAAGCCCATTTCGATAACACCAAAGCCAGTAACAATGGGTAAGTATGAATGGCCTGAAATTAAAAAATTTGTGATCAACAATTTTAGTATCGTTTTCTGAAGACTGAACAATTTTCATCCAACTTAATGCCAGTTTTATGTTACGGTTTTGTCCCTTACATGCGTCATTATATGTAATAATATGCTTCTGAGTTGTGACATTCTGAGGATGTTTTATGCAACACGAAGCAACTTTCTGAAAACATCTTCATGCATTTGCTTCATCTCAAAGATATATGCCAATATTATTGTTATGAAATCCCAAATTTAACTCCTACATATTACTTTTGTAATATGATATGGAAGTCGTAAGTTTGGGAAGAGATAATGCCTTTTAATGGTGAAATGAGAAGGCAAAATATTCATCTGGATTTTCTAATCTTCTTCTAAACACTTCCTAGCTATTTGTATCAAACTCAAATGTATAATAAATCATGTTCTTTTACTAATTATTCTGTAGAGGTTGCTTTTTCATCTAATGAAATCACCGTCATGTACTTTTTTCTGTTGTTAATGTTTTTCGCATTACGGGGGATATTTCTATAAAATAAAATCTATATAATTCCATAATTGAAATAAGTGTGTTTTACCTGATTCAAAGCCTGATAACTTCATATGAAAGTGACTTCAACTAAAATAATGCTAACCACGTGTGCTATATTAGATATCACTACAGTATAATTTGGACTATTCCGTACTATTCTTTTCCACCTACAAAAATTTCTGAAAATAATTCTGAAAAGAATACTTCATACAAACTTATCTCATCTTTAATAATATACTACCCTATCTCTTTTCCACTAATCCTCCCAATTAATTTCCTGTGTATAGCGACTTACGCAACTTTCAAAACAAACATGTTTGTTATATCATTAATTAGCAACATTTCTCTCAAGCAAAATCTCAATAGTTGTCAAAATATTGGATGGAAATTTTTATAAAATTGAGAGATACCGTTAAATTGTGATTAATTTTATCGTTAACGCCATTAATTTTAATTAATGTTATCATTATTTTGAGAAAGTTACTTATGCCACTTTTGGAATAAACCGCTCAATTATCAATCGACAGATTGACGTTGAGTAATCCAAAACTGATGTCTAATCAAAAATGTGCTTATTAGATTACTTAGATATAGATTACGAACTTACTATTTATGCATCTTGGTAGGTGAAAGTTTTAGACACCTCCCACTCAACTAAAGTAGACAAGAATGTTTAACCAAGATACGAATATACATGAAGAGTTATTGTGCATTGGAGTGAACTTTGAAAATCAAAATATCATTGAATGTACGTACTTTGAGGCACTTCATAGTTTGAAAAAGTACCACTAGTATCAGGAAACTGATACTTTTGGAAGATTAAAGCCGTTTAGATATTCCGTTTATAAATCGCATCGAGGGGTAAGCCATAGAAACAGCCTCAAAAAAACGCGTTTTTTATGATAATTTTTTCTGATGGAAGGAACGCAATTACAACATTTGAGTAGATTATAACGTATAATTTCAGTTACTCGAAAAAAAACTTAAATCAACATATCGAAACTTATACGTTTTTGCGGGCTATCATTTTAACCGTAATAAAAAGAATTCGAATGAAAGCTGTTAGAGAAATTATTCCACAAATCGTGGAAAGAATTTAAAGCTTTTTCGTACTGCTATAAAATCCTGTTTCAAAAATTAATCTTCTTGACCTCTTAAAATCTTGGCAGAGATCATTTAAGTCAATAAAAAAAATAAAACTTGATTTTTTGAAAAATTTTTAGTGGTTACCCCGTTAAATACTTGACGTACAAGACAATATGAAATGGTCTACGGTAAAAGCATAGTGCGTTGTCAGCGCGCGCATCTGTAACATTAGGAAATAATTTGACGACTTGAAATGTAGTTAAGCAAGCCGAAATATTTGTGACGTTAAGTATGCTCTCATGAGATAAACGAGAGCAGCTTACAAGAGATATTTAAGATATAACACGATTTTACAATACAAAAATTTTTGAGAAATTAAAAATAAATATGCACAGATAGTAGCTATAAACAAACAACAACGTGGTGAATGTCAAAACGAAACAGAATTTCCAGTTGCCAACTTGATCAAATTTAGCAGCGTAACTTGAGCAATTTAGGCAATCGCCTTGCTTGCTTGCAGGAAAGAAGTATAAAAGTAGAAACTAGTTTTCATTAAAATAACGTAAACGCCAGGTCGCTACCACACCACAGGTCGTTATATTAATAAAATACTTTGAATTTTCTATTCATACAAGCTACCTCGCATTAAGCAAGTTAATTATCTCATTTGAATTACAAAATATGTTTTAAGAGAAATATCGTGTAATTTCACGTAGATTGTTAACTTAACTTTTGTAAAGTTACCAACGATGTGGTTAAATAAATAAATTATAGCAAATTTCTTAAATATGACATGATAGTTCGGGTATTCGACTCGGGCTTAATCATTTTATGTAGCAATCTGCATTTGTACGGCCAATGAACAGATGTTTAGGGTGTATTCCCCTTTGAGGAATGTGACCTAAGTTGAAACATATACAAATTTACGACCGTTAAAGACGCTACACCACATTGTCTAACAGAATTCTTATTTTTATTACAGAACATAAAATATTTTCCATGTGCGTAATTAAGGAGAAACGGGCCCAAAGCTCAAGTAGGGCAAGATTCACAAATAGACGTAGATGGTCCAAATTTTGTAGAATATGAAATCAATATTATGGATCATCGTAACATATTAAAACCGTTTCCCCTTGAATCAAAAAATTCTATAGTACCAAAGTTTATGAAAACATCACAAGACTTGGGATCTGTGGGTTGAACACAAATTTACATGAACACACATCAGACGGACGGACGGACAAACACACTGAGATCAATTCAGATTACGGATCAGAATTGACCGGTATAATAAAAGGTTGGTTTTTCCTAAGCCCTTCCAAATCATCGTAAATGTCATCATTTCATTCATTAAATCTTTCCTTTGTTTTATTTTGACAAATCAATTATTTTAAATAGCATGGCCTTCTTCAAGGGTGGTACAATGGGTCTAACGTTTCACTAACTTTTCATCGACTTTTTTATAGGAAGATTTATCGAGATCCTTTAAATGTGCCGCAATGTCTGCTGGACCACTGTACCACTGTTATTCTCGACGGACTAGTGTTGATACAATACTTTTTCAGCCAATGATAATCTCCCTATCTTTCCATCAAAAGATAATATTTAATGAATACCACAAATTCAGATATTCCAATTGCATTGAAAAACATAAAAAAACAATCTGTCTATTGCGAGGGTAAACAACCTTCCCGTTTTGCTCCATGTAATTGTCTCTTTATTCTTTTTCTTTCATCAGATGATGTTGCGAAGATCGTCATAGTGTTTCTTCCATCATTTGAGAGCCGCAAATGATCTATAGATGTGTGTGTATTTATCTAATTTTGCATATAAGTAAATGTATCTACTATTTATATAAAAGTTTTTATTTATTCTAATGTTAAGCTTATAAAAATAAATTCATCAGTCTTGGCAGTGTAATATCACACTTGTGATGAAGTCATGTGTTGAATAATCCAATTGTAACGAACGTAATCCTGATAATTAGCATTTAATAAATGTTAAATGACATATAGTATTAAAAAAATAGCAATAATAATACAATCAAGAGTTACTAATTATTTTGCATTCACAATTATTTCAGCGTTTAAATCAATAAAGTCGCTAATCCCTACTTTGCCCCCGATCACAGCATAAAAAGTATTTAGCTGTAAACACGGCTGAGCAGGTGCAGAGCTATCAAACTAAGGCGTCGCACCATTATGTAAGCAACCTGTCCTTTGCGCCTTATTTCCTGGTCTCTAGTAAGTAAATTAAATTTATTTGATAACTGTCTGCGTGCTGTAAAAAGTCTCTTTGCTGCAAAAATGAAGCTATCGACTTCAAGTTTGGAGAAACATTGTAAGTTTTTTCACCCAGATTGGTGCTGAAAATGGGCGAAATCGGTTGAAGGACACATCTACAGTACTACCTAAACGCCTTTGAGAAATAAAAAATGGTTGTTTGCTCATTACTCATACGCAGACAAATGTGCAAAAATTTCAACGTATAATCTATCGGCGATGCCGTGGTACTTGTGAAAAAAATGGGAAAAATTGACCGCGCTTTTCAATACCGGAGAAAGACGCTTTAAAAACCCCGTAGAGTATATGAAATCTTGGGCAGTTATAAGTATGGAATGCACCTAAGAACGTCCGCCTGTTCGTCTATCCGTCTGTCCGTCTGTCCGTCTGTCCGTCTGTCCGTCTGCCCAATCGTGCAGTATCTATTGCAAGCATTCGGCCGTTCGCAGAAATGAAGATGTCACCTACAAATTTGCAAAAGAGTTTGGAAGATCGCCCGCGTGTCTACGCCACCAAAACTTTTATTTCGGAAAGAAAAAAAACCGGCCTCACTCACTTTATACTATAGAGCATGAAAATTTAGTTCTTTTAATTTTTGTTTATAAGATAGTGGTGATGTTACTTGTTTCTTTTTTTTCCACTTTTATACATTTATATATAAATTTTATTGTTTTTATATTATCGTTTTTTTTTTTTTTTCTTTACTACTTTTTGTATACATTGAGATTAACCATTACTTGTAAGAGTCAACTGAACTCGGCTGTTAATTTATTTTCGCTGATATTCATGTGTAAATAAGTAAAATAAATAAATAAACAAAAAAAGTCATTGCAAAAGGCTGTCTTGGTTTATAGAAAGACACAATTTCATTAGTCATAAGCAAACGACCTTTAAGATTAGATCACTGTCCTAGTATTTTGATTTAATACTGTAATCAAGGGTTTCTTTTAGCTCTTGAAGACTTTTTAAAAAGCTTCTTTTTAAAGAGGAATATCGATTCCAAAATCAATCGCGTACTATTCGAAATTTATCCATTCAGTAATCGGATGCTCTGTTCGTAATTGTTTTCACTGTCGCCTTTGATAAAATTAGTCGAAGAGTA